TTTAAGACTTTCCTTCCCTTTCTCCCTTATCTCTCTCAAATTATTCTACCTTTAGTGTTTGGCAGTTCTTATTTTATATGCAGTTCATTTTATTTTTCTGAATCGTGTCGTCTTGCCAAGAATATTCATCAGTATTTTCTAGATGGCTACATGTGGCAAGATACTTTATATATTAACCATTCTACTTGCCTAGGGCACTTCCCAGCTGCTACATCAATACTGTCCACGTATATGCTGCTTATAGACCATGTATCAAAGAATTTTTGTGCAAAAGCATAGACTGAGTTTAGACTTTTGCCTTTCAGCACTGGAAGAACTAGGGGTAAATGAAGTTGTTTTGAGCAGTGTTTTAATGCTAGAGAAGTGTGTGGTACTAATGCGTCTTTTGTTCTGGTTTATGCTAGGTGTTATTGGAAACAACAAGGCTATAGGAAAATATATCACAACCATGATTTTTCTATATTTTGCCTGCCTCCTTCCAGCTATTGCATTTGGGTCACTCAATGATGAAAACACCAGAGGAGCTATTGGTAAGTTGATCCACATTGTGCATCTGTTTTTTGGATGTTGTGTGTTCATGTTGGTTAGACTGCTCTGGTTGTATGAAGTTTGGGCAATTTTCCTTGAAGTGAACATCGCCAAAGGCCTTTATCACTCTTATATTCATGACTCTTTCAGATGGTTTGGAAAACCACACACTTTTCATGGTATAATATGACTGAAAGATAGAAGCATAGTATTTTTAAATAATCCCGTGTCTTGCAGCTATGTAGGAGTTGCCTGCAATCTCTGCCTCTGCTCCTCTGCTTTTGATCTCAATTTGGATGCCAGTACCTAAGCAGTTGGTGTACTGCATGATGCCTTGTGCAGTGGAGCCATTTATGCTACTATTGCTGTTCATAGGACTCTCTAAAATCTTGTCCTAAAGGTCTCAATAAGACTTGTTTAAGGCTTTACAGGGTTTTAAAATTGCTTTCATAGTCCAGCATATGAATCTTGACTGCATCCTAAACTATTAGCACAAGTTTTCTGGCAAAGGGTCACTACTTATTCTCAGAATGTCTTACCTTTTAAATATTGCCATGAGTCTTCAGCTTTAATGGGCACAAAAGCCAACTACTGTTTTTCTCTGTGGCATTGGTTTAAAAAAATGTTGACTATCCTTTCCAATTGCTTGTAGATGTGCAGAAGACAATCATTGGCCAGTGTATTGGAGGGCTGCTTTATGCCCTGTTTTCAGGGCAACCTTTAGTTGTACTCCTAACTACAGCTCCTTTAGCACTCTACATTAATGGTAAGTTTACAAAATATATACATTGGGGATGGTGTTATTGTGATCAGTGGAATGGGATATTGCACAGGAACCATGTGATCCTGAGCACTCTGGTTTTTGTTTAATAAATCAGGGCTGCTTCTGATGCTGAGGGAGAAGGGAGTGTAATCTGATGCAGACTTAAAGGACATTGGTTTCTGGTGGGATCATCTAGTACAGAAAAACAATCTCATAAGAATAAGCACTTCTGCCTCAGAGAAGAAACTTTTCATGTGTTTTTTCATGTGTCTAAGAGCCTTGAAACGAGGATTCTTTCTTGGTCTGAAAAGTTGATAGGTGGACTCCCAGCTGCAGTTGCAAGCTCAGTTTTGTGAGCCAGAGGTGTGAGGGAGCAAACTTGAATCAGTATCTCTAGGAACAGCCAGGTGAGCTCTGGTTAGTGTAAGATGAGGTCTTAGCCAGCGATGCAATGACTGATTGCATGGAGTGCAAAAGCAGATACCAAAACCCTTGATTAACACCATCTTTGAAACACCAATAGTCCAGTGTATGGCAAATTCTGACAGCTGATTTCATGGTCTTGCCCCCTAGAAGAAGCACTGAGCAGCATGGGAGAGTATTTTCCAAGCGTTTCTCACTCTGTCTTTAGAGGTGAGGGGAAAAAAATCTGCTTGAATTAGTCCGGTGTCTTTTCCATGCACAGATATGCAAGGAAAATGCATGAGGTCTGACTTACCTAAGCCTTGTTCAGTGCTTGGGATCCTTCCTGACTCTGGCTTGCTTGTATCCATTGAATAGGATAGCGCCTCAGGACTGTCTTAGCTTGTTTTTGCCATCAAATAGATAGGAATTTCAGGATGGTGGTGACAAAGCTTAATCTGATGTTTTTTAAATTTTTTTCAGTCATTCGTGGAATTTGTGATGACTACAACTTGGATTTTAATGCTTTCTATGCCTGGATTGGACTGTGGAACAGTTTTTTCCTTGTGATGTACTCCCTCTTTAATTTCAGTCTTCTGATGAAGCTCTTTAAAAGGTAGCTATTTTCAAGAAGTCATATTTTGATCCCATTATTCAGAAAATGGGAAAATTATATATTCCAACAAGATCCTTAATTATAAACTTGCTGCAAAGTGTATTTTTTGGGATGAGACTAGTATCATTTCATCTTATTGTTCCAACTTGAAAGGAGCTTTTAAAGATTCACTGGGTTTCGTTTCCTGAGCTGGAATCTAAAATTGGTATATTTTCATGTCAATGCATGAATATGCTGATTTTGTTAGAATGGAGTTGAATGCAGATCCTGCTACTAGCTGTATTCATGTCTTTTTTCCCACAGGTCAACAGAAGAAGTAATTGCACTTTTTATATCTATCACCTTTGTTTTCGATGCTATTAAAGGCATTGCTAAAAGTAAGTCTTGCAACAGTGCTCTTCAGATCTCTGCTTAAAGGGAAGTGGGATGCTAAAAATGCATGTGATAGTT